TAGGGCTTATAATTTCAGTGTATGCCCTCTGTAAAATCAGAAAATCTTCGTTATTAGGGAAGTAAATAGCGCTGTTCTTAGTGCACAAATATTCCTTAATGATGTTTTTGGCGAATTCAACTGTCATTTCTTTATGGATTATTTTGATTTTTAACTTTTGAAAATCATGGCTTTCGTTGGTCGTGTCGTTATTTCCTTTTTCTAGTTCTAGCTGTCTAGAATAATAATTAAGTGGTCTCTCGGTTATTGATATGTAATTTAAATTATCTCCACTCGCGCTATGGACTGTTGCGTTTGCGCTATCTGCGACTTCAGGTAGCATGGCTTCTTCGATTTTTGTGCGGGAAAGGGCGTCGGCTACATGGTTTTCTTTGCCCGGAAGGTATTTTAATTTGTAATCAAATTCGTTCAATTTTATTTTCCATCTTTGTAACTTCATGGTTGGCTCTTTAATATTATTAAGCCATACTAAAGGCTTATGATCACTTAATATTTCAAATGGTCTACCAAATAAATAAGACCTGAAATATTTCGTTGCCCAAACGATAGCTAACAATTCTTTCTCAATTGTAGCGTAATTAATCTCATGCTCATTTAGTGTTCTACTGGCATAACAGATGGGTTTATGATTCTGAGATAGCACAGCACCAATAGCTAAATTACTTGCATCGGTTGTCAGCGAGAATGGTTTTGAGAAATATGAATATATCAGTATGGGGTCTGAAGTTATTAGAACTTTTTGCGTTTCGAAAGATTCAATGTAGTCTTTATTTTTGGTGTCGATAACTGCACCTTTCTTTAGTTTAAGGGTCATAGGTTTAACTACCTTGGCAAAGTTAGGAATGAACTTGCGATAGAACCCACATAATCCCAAAAATTATTTTATTTGTTTTGGTGTCTTAGGTAATGGAAAATTTGTGATTGCATTAGTTTTGTTTGGATTGGGTTTGATGCCGTTTGTGGTTACAATATGTCCCAGGAATTCGGTTTCCTTCTTCATGAACTCACATTTGTCTAGCTGTAATTTTAAGTTAGCATCCCTGAGTTTCCCAAAGACTTTCCTTAGAGATAAAATGTGTTCCTCCAATGAAGTGGAGTAAATTATAATATCGTCCAGGTATACTAGGCAGTCCTTGTAGATGAAATCTTCCAGAAGATTGTTCATACAACTCTGAAAAGTTGCAGGGGCATTTTTCAAACCAAAGGGCATGCGTGTATATTCATAGTGCCAGTGTTCGGTTGAAAAGACTGTTTTCGCGATGGAATTCTTATCCATTTGAATTTGGTGAAAACCTTTGGCTAGATCAATCGCTGTAAAATATTGGCATCGTCCGAGTTTATCCAATATCTCATCCATTCTAGGGATGGGGAATTTGTCGTTGGCAGTTATTTCGTTGAGATTCCTATAGTCCACTACTAACCTAAATTTCTGTTTCCCAGAGGCTTCTGCCTTCTTAGGGACCACCCAAATGGGAGAACAATAAGGCGACTTCGATTTGCGAATTATACCTTGTTCTATCATTTCATTAATTTGTTTGTTGACTTCTTGGTCAACACCTTGGGGGTATTTATAAGGTTTTCGGTAAACTGGATTTTCGTGTTGAGTTTGGATAACATGTTTAATGGTACTTGTGAAGGTCAAATTTTCTCCTTCTTTGTTCTGAATGTCTCTATATTCATATAGGACCTTCCTTAAACGTTCGACTTCTTCTACATTTAAATGTTCGAGTCTGTATTCGTTACATTCGCGTAATTCGTTATTTATCGCGAAGTTGACTATATCATTGTCCATTGTGTCAATGTTTACTTTTGGAGCGAGGCACCGCTGATGCGGTCTCCTCCTTTTGCTTAATCTTGGGTTTAAGCTTGGGTTTAAGGCATTTTGCGGGTGTGGTTTCGACTTTTTCTTCTTCGTACCTAAATTTGTAGGTTCTTGAACCTAGAGTTACGGTTTCTTTTTCGTAGTCAATTTTTGCTTTTGTTTCTTCGAGATATTTTCGACCTAACAGGAAATCATAACTATCGGAAAAATTATGGAATAGATTATGCATAGAATTTTTGTACGGACGGTCTTTTTATCGGCCTATTATTGATCACGTTTGAAGTTGAAGGTTGAAAATTGAGAGGATTGTTTTGTCTGCCTTGATTTAATTCCCTTCTAAAAGAATAATAATTTCCCCTCTGATCGGGAGGTATAGGACGAGTCATGTATTGATTTTGATTGGTTACAGGGTAGTGAGCGCCATAACTATTATGTCTGCTGTTAAAGTATCTTTGATTCATATTTCCTCTGTTCTTTTGCTCATGCCTGTCTAATTTATTAAAGTATTGATTTTCGGGGTTACCGTCGTATTGACCTAACTCCATCGTGGCTTGTTTTAATTTAGCAATGGTATCAATGTCCTTACGCGCTAATGACATGTACATTCTATCTGCCAATTTTCGATCTATAGTGGTTTTAATTGTTCGCTTTAACATTTCAGTGTAGTTTAGCTTATCTGTGGGGTCGTTTTCTAATTCTAGTTTGTCAAAAATGTTCAAGTATTGTAATTGTAATTTTTCTATAAACTTACTTTTGCTACCAGGGTATGTTGTTTCTTCCAGTTGTCTCACTAAGGTTACATATGGTCTATGGTCCTTGAATGATGTTGCCAGGGTTGTTTTAATTCGCATCCATGTCGTTGCTCTTGCTTGAATTACGACTTCCAGTGCTGAATCCGTGATCAGGCGTTTTACTGCTCCATATATTACGTGTGCCTGCCTGGCATCTTGGGTGGGGTATAGGTTTAGTAATTGTTCGACCTGGTTGACAAATCCGGAGGTGTGCCATTGGTGTAGTGTAGTTCTTTAATCTGGCCCAGTAGTTGATTCAGGTGGTTTTCGGAAAGCTGTGGAACTGCCATATTGTAATTTTTTTGTTGATTTCTTAATGCACCGAGTTTTTTGTTACTTGGTTTATTTAAACCCACAGAAAAAATTTTATATATATTTTTTTATATATATTTTATATAAAATCCCGCACGGGATTTTTATTAGTTTGCAGAGTTTATCTGACCACACGGGATTTTTTTATTATGAAATCTACACGCACGTAGATTCTTTTGCGGATCCATTTAATTTAGAAATCACTGTTATAATTCGCTGGTCAGTACCGTACTTAAGGACTTCGTATTTAATGATGATCCTACCGACTGCGCCATTTATATGTTGGTAATTTCCATAAGTCAACAAAATATAATTTTTATTAACTGAATAATTACAACACTTTATTAATTTAATTCTCAAACTGAACTTCTCTTATTGATCTAGATTGATTAACGTTCAAGCCTCAGCTTCGAGCTTTTCAAATATGGACTTTGGATTTTAGAATTAGAGAGAAAGCTTTGTAGTTATCTGCATTTCTCTTGGAGAAATTCATTATCTGCATTCGCATTCGCTCTTGGATACAAGTGCTCTTAGATTCTTAAGATTTTGTTTATTTGAAATTTAAAACTTTTGTTTTCGAGATTGCGAGTCCGAACTTTGAACGTGTGGGAACTTGACAATTAGGCAAAGAATGTTTAGTCTACCAATGGGTGATTTGTTTAAATAACATCCTGAATTTTTATTACTTGGGGTTTTTCCGCTTGGCTTTGGTTCTGGGATTCTGCTTTTTATTCCTATCTAGGGGCTGAGTGCATAAAGGGTAATATGGGGTATGTTGATTTACAATTGTGAGGTATAGGGTAGAATTGGGTATGCTTGTTGTGTGTGTAAATAAGTAGGCATGTGCTTAAGTCTAAGGGACTTATGGATATGTCACTATATATATGTATATATTTATTTTTTTTTATATACAGTGGTGGACACTAATTTAGTACACTATGTATGATCGATTTTCTTTTCTTATTTTCTCAGTTGTTAAAATGATTAGATCAGTAATATTTTATTGTGCGGGTAGGTTACTAAGTAGATACTTAGTATTCTTTTACTTTTGTATTCTTTCTTTGCCATTCGATTTTATCCAGAAACCCCCAAAATTGGCTGGAAACGAATTTAGCACACTTGACAAAACAGTGTATTTTTATACAGTAAACAAATTTTTTTTTTTATTTAACTTTTAATATTATGTTGTATATCCTTTATGCTTATATACTTAAAGAAGTCTATGTGGCAAACTCTCCACCAAAGCTGCGCATCCCTTCTGCGGTAAGGCAGACCAACCATTTTTTATTGCTCTTTAGTTCATTTAAATTGCTGGGTGTTACAAGTCCAATCTGCTTCTGAGCATCCACCCGAAAATTCTGAATAGGATTGAGATCGGCGAACTGAGCTGGCCCCTTCATAACGTCAATAATGCTATCCTGAAGGCAACTCTTCACTAGTCGTGAAGTATGCTTAGGATCGTTATCGTGCATAAAACGCCACTGTAACGGTAAATTATCATCCGTTGATCCATCTTGTGTACTTCACCCACACCATGCCAAGAAAATGCTGCCCACAACATTACACTTCCTCCACCATGCTTGACCGTCTTTTATGGTGTGTCGTGGATGGTGTTGCATGTTCGGAGGACGCCAAAGAGCAGCCAAGATCCTTTGAAACATATGAAATTGATTTTCCCGGCGATTTCATGATTTGGATGACATCTCGCTGTGCTTCAGTACACCAGCGACCTTTAGCCATTTTAAACCGAAGTTTTTTGTATTTACCGAAGTAATAAAGCACAATTAATTAATTTAAGATCAAAAAAATACGCATGCTTCCAACAACTGTAAGTTGTGCTCAAGTGTGCTAAATTCGTGTCCAGCCAATTTTGGGGGTGTCTGCATAAAATCGAATTGCAAAATTACGGTACTTATTCTCTACTTAGTAACCTACCCGCACAATAAAATATTACTGATCTAATAATTTTAACAACTGAGAAAATAAGAAAAGAAAATCGACCATGCATAGTGTGCTAAATTAGTGTCCACCACTGTATATTATACATATATATATATTTTAATGCGAATTTTCAGGGCTGCTCAGGATATTGCTGACTCCGGTAATCCACCTACAAAACCGCAAGTGCCAGTGACACAAGCTATCACGACTCCTCTGCAAAACAATATTAACAGGAAACTAAATGGATTTTTAAGTCTTAGAACTCCTTTGATTGGGTATGTATTCAAGAAAATCATGCAAATGAGTGAATATCTATGTTTTATCTATGTTATAACATACGTTATAACGTTTAAAGCGTTTCGGGAGCCTCTCAAACAAAACCGCAAAGCGTTTCTTCACTTGCAAATCCTGGAGATGGGACTACAAAAGATTCTGCAGTAAGTATATAAGCGTTTTTATATTGAACCTACAAATCGAAAACAATGAAATATAAAAATTGTATTATGATCAGCACTTAGATATATAGGACCGATAAAATGTTTCATATGCACTTACTACTGCGTTTCAAACTGTATCGATAAGTACTATTAAATAAAAAATAATGTCGACAAGTTGACAGACTGACATGATTATATCGATGCGGCTAATGATCCTTTGGTGGGTGTAAAACTGAGGTATTTTAATTTTAAGCTACCACATTTGGCCCACACCTATGTTTCGTCAATCAAGCCTGGGCAACCAGTAGAGTTCCATCGTCTTCCCTTGCGGAGGGAAGTCCTCCTCGAGGGAATCCCAGCGAAAAAACAGGTTCTGTTAAAGCTGGCGTCTCGAATTTGTATGTCCACGAATCATATTTCCCTTTTAAGCTTAAATTAAATTTCTTGTTTTGCGACAATTTTTCTTCCTTGGCGTGCAATGATTATATTGCGGGATTAGATTTTTAGGTAATAACATATTAACGTATAAATAGGAAATACCTAATAATAGCTAATAACCTTTTTTATTATTTTTCTTTGAGAAATGAAACATTTGAAACATGTGGAGCGATTACAAGGGATTACGTTTTATTTGTTGGTTCGAACGTTGGTTCGAACATGAGTTACGAAACCAATTGTAAATTAACGGCTTAATGCAGAACCCTAAGCCAAAAGTGCAGGCGCGTGGGTACAGGAGAGAGAGAGAGCACGAGAGGGGCGAGCTTAGAAGGCTACACAGTTTCTCTGCATATATACCGAAAGATTCGTACAGCTGATGTGCAGTAGAGATTAATTGCATTTTCAATGTTGGCAATAAACAAAATCATAAATGTAGGAAATGTGGGATATTAAAAATATATTTTGAGAGGTCTCGCTTCAAAATCAGCCCTATTCTAGCCTTGAATTTGGCAAATGTCAAAAATGTCGAAAACTTTGTTTTTTTTTCATTTTTAATCGCCAATAACAACCACTTTCTTGGTTACTCGTAGAGAAAAGAATGTACTAGATTCGTTAAGAACTGTATTGTTACGCCCACTCTAACGACCACAAACGAAAACGAATACGAAAACTGTTACGGGCACACTTTTGAAAAAATTTCCAATGCTTTTTATACCCGTTACTCGGAGAGTAAAAAGGTATTCTGTATTCGGTGAAAAGTGTGTAAAAGCCAAAAGGAAGCGTTTCCGATATATATTTTTGATCAGAATCAATAGTCGAGTTGAATTGTTTAAAGATTCTTGGTTTCGCGATTGATAGATGTTTCATAATCTGCATTGCTTGCAAACAGTCCACACCTTCATTTTATTTGACATCGATTTCTAGGGATTTTAAATACTTTATATAATAAAATAGCTTGGTTCTCGGAAAAATGCTAAACCAAGCAATATTTTATACCTATCAATGTTATACTGAACTCTAAAAGTTCTAAAGCTAAGAAGTTCTTTATAAGCTTATAAAACGTTTTTTTTACATTTTCATTTCGTTTCAAATTTAATTGAATTCATTCCATTAATTTCCATAACAGTAGGAAATAATTGTATATAATTTATAATATTTTAATATCAGAAAAAATTTGAGTGTACATATCTCTGGATCAAGTAAACATAATATTTTGATAAAAAATATTTATTAAAAAAATTAACTACTAAAAGTTTACTTATCCGAAAGGCTTTTCGAAATATTTGTTTGCTCTCTTGCTGAAAAATGCTTTGCTTATACATTAAGAAATTCGTAAAATCGTATAAATATTTAAAAAATTCGTTTGTTTTACAATTTAAAACTTATCATTTTGTCCTTTTCACGGACTTTGAGGAAACTGGGAAAAAAGTATGTGTGAACTTTATCTGATACTTAGGTATGACCTATGGCAGAAATTATAAAGTACTCAGTTTCGACTGAATTTTTTTTGTGAAATATTATTGATTAAATTCTGCGAGTAAACATGATGTCAATAAATACACATTATTAAAGATTCATGTATGACATTTTTAAAGTCTTGTTTTTAATCATTCTGTGGAACAAGAAAGAGGAGCAACACAATAGTCAACTTTTGTTGGTAGTATATAAGGCGAATGAATCCAATTTATTTTTTAAATAATCTTCTGAATTGCAAAATGAATTGATAAGGATGACAAAGACGGACATGGCTAAATCGACCGGTTGTTGATACTAATTGTGAATACCTATGTCTTCTTTATACTGTCGCAAATATTTTTTACACAACGTTGCAACGAGCAATTTAAAGGGGGAGTGGCTAACTTTGATAATAATTCCTTTCGTTTCGATGTACTAATTGTTAACTCCTTTCTTTTAATTTTTTAGAATAAAAGTATCTCAATGACAGACATGTATTTGGATAGCACCGATCCAAGTGAAAATGTTGGGCAAATACATTTCTCCTTGGAGTATGATTTCCAAAACACAACTTTAATTTTAAAAGTTCTTCAAGGAAAAGAGCTTCCAGCAAAAGATTTGAGTGGTACTTCCGATCCATATGTTCGTGTAACGCTGTTACCAGATAAAAAGCATAGATTGGAAACCAAAATAAAACGACGAACACTAAATCCACGATGGAATGAAACATTTTATTTTGAGGGTTTTCCAATTCAAAAACTTCAATCACGTGTAAGTAACAAGTTAGAACTGTTAGACCTTCTTGGAAGAAAAATTTTAAAGTTTTAGGCAGTTTATTGAGTTACAAATTCGCATTCTTATATTTACAAGTACAAGTTTTGCAACTTGTTGAACAAATTTGATATATTGTTATATATATTGTTTATAGTTACTATAGAAAGATTATTTATAATATTATAATACGAATTCTTTTTTGGTGTGAAATTTAGGTAGATCTTAATTTATATAATTATTTATTAAAAGAGGGTTAATAAAAGTAAGAATATTTGACCACCTTCCTAGACGAATTGATATAGATATAGTTTTGAAGTAACAATCTAAAAGGGTTTCAAAAATATTTATATTGTTTTTTTTGTATATTATTAATGATTGGGATGTGATTTTTTAATTGTTAAGGCCTGATACACAGAATTACATTTTGTATTTTTAAATATGGATATTGAATTATTGTTTATTTTAATTTTAATTGTTAATTTTTTTCTTTTATTTTAATTGTTAATTTTAAGCACGGAGGAACGGATAAAACTTTTTCGATTCGTCTAGTGATTTTGACTAAAAATATGTTCATTCGCTCCGTAACGTGATTCATGGCGCTGTAAACTTCTGATTGAAATTCAAAATTTTTTGCGAGGGTATTTTGATTACATTTTTGTTATTGACAGGTATATGGAAAACCTAGGTACACGTATAAATTAAAATTATTTCCAAGTTATAAATTAAATAACATTCACAATTTTAATGTTATTGTGTTTTTATATGGACAATTCCAAATGGTGAAGGTTTTACACTTACATGTCTTTGATTACGATCGGTTCTCAAGAGATGACTCCATAGGGGAAGTATTTCTTCCTTTATGCCAGGTAAATAATTCATCTAAGACGTATTTCCTAAAATGTATATTGTTTATTTAATAAGGTTGACTTTGCTGGCAAACAGTCTTTTTGGAAGGCGTTAAAGCCCCCTGCAAAGGATAAATGCGGAGAACTTCTCTCATCTCTTTGCTATCACCCGTCAAACTCAATTTTGACTTTAACATTAATTAAAGCGAGGAATTTAAAGGCCAAAGATATCAACGGAAAATCTGGTAAGCAGAACAAGTTTATAATATAAGAGAATTTTTATTGTTTTAATTACGTATTCTTGTACTTAATTAAAGAATGGAATAATTATATCCGTTACTCAACTAGATTCGTTGAAAAGTATGTAACCGGTAGATGGAATCCTTTCCAATAAAGTAGATTATTCTTGAAAATGACCAATAGCCAAGTCGATCTGGCCATGTCCGTCCGTCTATTTGTCCGCGTGAACGCAGAGATCTCCTGAACTATAAAAGTTGGAAAATTTAGATTACGGCGAAAAACTGATTGGCCGCGTTATTTTACCAATTTATTTGGCAGTTGCAGTATAGACATTGTTTTTTTCTCAGACAAAATTTATTGTTAAAAGGGTTGTTGTTCTAAATTTGGGAAATTGAAAGTTTCCAAACTATATTTTAACCGCGAATTTAAACGTTTGCATTAAAATAATTAGGATTTCAATAATTTCACATGTTTCAACTCGACTATGACATTATCTCTTGTTTTTAATTAATTTTCCGACTGTTTCTATGCCAGCTATATGATATTCAAATGTGTTGTTGATTAACTAGAAGACTTTCCACCAGAAATGCAAATGTAATATTTTTTTACTTGTAGATCCTTACGTAAAGGTTTGGCTTCAGTTTGGAGATAAAAGGGTAGAGAAAAGAAAAACGCCTATATTTACGTGTACATTAAATCCAGTATTTAATGAATCGTTTAGTTTTAACGTACCATGGGAAAAAATAAGAGAATGTTCCTTGGATGTTATGGTGATGGATTTTGATAACATTGGACGAAACGAGTTAATAGGACGAATATTATTAGCTGGTAAAAATAAAAATAAAATTTCTACACCTCAATATTAACTATTCTTTACTAAAATCAATATTTTTCTATGCAATCACTAGGGAAAAACGGTTCTGGAGCATCGGAAACTAAGCATTGGCAGGACATGATCTCAAAACCCAGACAAACTGTAGTACAATGGCATCGCTTAAAACCTGAGTAACTTTAATACGAACTCCCTAATAACAAATAATTAACACCAGCAAGTATATCGGAGAACACCGTACATTGATGGATGTGCATACATTAGTTTAATTATAGTTGCTTTCATAGCAATATCATTTCGAATTAATGTATAAAGTCGAAAATAATTTAAATCTGCAGAAATTAATATTATATTGTTTACAAAAATTTTACCTCTACCCAAAAAACCATTAAAATTCAATAAAGTATTTGTTTTGATAAGAGCAATAGTTTTATACGTGCTTAATACATAAATATATATATATATATATATATATATATATATATATATATATATATATATATATATATATATATATATATATATATGTATATATATGTATATATATGTATATATATATGTATATATATGTATATATATATATATATGTTTTGTAAGGACATTATTATTATACAAGCTATTATAAACGATTGTAAAGTCGTTCAAAAAATCCTGTTAAAACACTGTTGCACAAAGAAGTACCACTTTTCGATGGAAAAGTCCTTAAAGTTCAAAAATACTCTTTTCCATCACTTAATTTTATTGAAGCATAAAGGGTGATAAGGGCAAACCATTCAAAAACATGACCAAGTGCAATTTTTGAGTACATTCAAATAATTTTAAATTTATTTTCCGGAGAATTATATGCATGGTATATTGTAATTTCTTAAACAATCTCGTTTTCTTATTTCAATCCTAATAAAATCTACAACAAGTGAAAATTTCCATTAATGCTTTTAAGAAGCGTTACGTAAATATTTGTGTGTGATTATTTTTTCAAATATTTAAACAAATTGTATATGTTGTATTTGCTTTAAATTAAGGAATCAGTTTGTCATTATCCGATTTTTCAAAAAAATTTATTTCTTAATAAAAAAAAGCATTTAATAAATTTAAATAAAGTTGAATGTTTTTGAATGCGATCTTGGCATTTTAAAAATCGGGAACGGTACCGGTGTTAGGTAATACATTTAAGCGATAAGAAAGTTGCATATGTCTATCGATATATATTTGCAAGATAGACATCTGTCAAAATTAAAAAAAAAAAGAAAATTTCATTTAATTTATGAAAATGTATATAATACGATTGAATTGTTAAATTGTAACATTAAATAGTTCAACAAAAATCAAGGAAAAACATTGTTACACTGTTTTAAATAAAAAAAAAATGAGTAAAAAGTTCAATATTATAATTAAAAATTCTTTAATCGCATACGGTGTCGTATGATAGACATGTAGGTTACTTGCATAGAGAAAGATTGCATTAGCACAATAAACCAGTAATAAACCATTTTTAAAAGTACCTTTAAAAAATTAGCCAACCATTGCCGTAATAAGCGTCAACTGCGAGAAAATAAATTATGAGACAGTAAGAGAGAAGAAAGAATTAAAAATTATATACATAATTGATAACTAAAACTGAGTTTAAAAAACGAAAAATCGAAAATACAACCCACCTTGAAATTACATATTTGTTATATACCTGTTAAAATATTATTAAAATAATTTATTCATAGCAGCAAATAAAGCATTAAAAACAAGCAAAAGCAAATTTACTTTAAGTATAATTGTAGTTGAATGAAAGTATACATCGATTCTCCAACTTTCGCAAAACTACAAAACCTTATGTTGAATTGAATCGGAAATCTTAAAATGTTTAGATAATCTAAATTATCAAAATGATACATACATCGTTGGAACATATGAATTATTCAGGTTAATTTAAAAAAGCTCAATTAAGGTAAGAATACCATTAAAAAAACCCCACGCCATTGCCACGCCTACGGTTGGAAAATTGCTTAGATTTTTTGTTAATTCCATTGTTTTCTTGAAATTTTTGCCAACAATATTGTGGCCACGCCCACTCTAACGTCGAAAAACCGCCCAAAGCTGTCAAAGTTTGTTTCATTTTATTTCTATTCTATTATTTATCTTGCCAATTTCAATTGATAATGTGTTTATCACAAACACTTTGGGCACTCCATCTCCAACGCCCATAATTAAAATATTGATTTTGTGTAACAAATCTGCTCGGTTGAATAAAGAGTTGACACACCTAAGGATAGTAAAGTCCAGACTTTATAGATAACTTTATACAGACATTATACATATGTAATTTAAGGATACCAAGCCTATCTTTTATGTTATAATAAATATTTAAACCGCAGTTTTATAATTTAATTAATACTAAACACAGAACCACTTCTTCAACGAATCATTGCTACTTCCTACTCTTCCTCGATGTTTTTCGAAAGAAACATACTACGGAAACATCGGATCTGGCAATAGCCGATCTATTTGCCCAGTTTTTCCTGGCTGTGTGATTAGATTCTGTCCGCAAGCCTCTTTTAACACTGTTTACTTTATTTCTAGAAACTTCACAGTTCCCCCATATATGAAAGGAGTCGTTTGTGATTTCTCTCCATTAAAATGTATCAAATTTGATGCAAGAATTATAGAGATTTACAATTATTATCTCTAAGCTTTTTGAAAATGCTACTCCCAATTGTTACTATCCCTTATAAGACATTCTCGTTTACTTACATATGTACGCAGATGATGTTAAATTATGCCTGAAGTAAAAGGACATTTCATGCCATTCAGATTTACAATCTGATCTAGACAGCTGTGAAAAATGGGGCCGTGATACACTTTCTACACTTCGCTTGTCCGTCCGGTTCTTGTGCATGGATTAACTGTCTGATGTCCGAATTATGCAGTTCCCTTGGATCGCATTGAATCGATTAACAAATTTTTACTTTTTGCTCCAAAACTGGTATAAAAACCTTATTTTACCTTCTTATTCAAGTAGACTTATATTAATTAACTTACCTCCCCTAGATACATTGATCCTGTTAAATTATACCTGTTACAGTAGAAGGAATCGATTTCAAATGTTTGACAAAATTTGTTTTCCCAATTTTTGCCGATATTCCAGATCGTTTAAATTTCTCGGTCGCACTTCAACTAGCTGAGTAACGGGTATCTGATAGTCGGGGAAGTCGACTATAGAATTTTTATAGTATAGTTATAAACTTAGGCTACAGAACTATATCAGACATAACAGATGGGCTTTCGGACCGATTTTATTATTTACCTAATATTTAATTTTTATTTACCTAATTTTACCTATATTATCTACAAATTATTTACATTTATATACAATATGTTAACAGAGATTAACACTTCTGCTTTACAGAGATTTGATAACTATATAAAGATGTATTGAGTTGACTTTTTTCAGAAATTTAATGTTGTTGCTTATAATTTTTCGTCGCTTCGTGACAAGCCCTAGCGCATCCCCCGGAACATTAAGAACTTTTAGATCTTACGTTGGAGCTGCAGGTCTGGAGCATTATAAAGACTGTCACTTGGAGAACCGCTGGAATTTTCCGAGAGTACTCAGAAAATTAAAAAGAACAAATGATTTCAGAAGTGACGTTTTAAAAATGTACATTCCCACTTACAATTTTTAAAACAAACTTTCTTATATTATTGGTTTGGATCTAACACCTTAAAAAGTACAAATTTGTTTACACACAAAGATGTTGTGACTGTACCGAATCGTCAGGAGTTAAGGATGAGCGAAAAGTGTTGCGTTGTTGATAAAGAACACTGATAAAGAAATTAGAAAGGGAAGAGCTAGACCAGTTTAGCTCCGCGAGTTTATTTGTAAAGTTGTACAGACTTATCTGCACCGATGAAATTGGTACCGCAGTCGCTGTAAATGTGACAGGTAACCAGCTCTAAATGGATAGCTTTAGACAAATGAATACTGCTATGTATAAATAATGTAAATGCTATAATGTAAAATTTAATGTAATAGCTATGTAAATGCTTTGACTTCAATTGATAAAGTGTAATTAACCAAAGTGGCTTCGTTTTAACAGAGTGGGACGATGCTTAAAACAGAGTACATTTAACAATCAACATTCAACAAACATTTACAATCCAAAACTGTTGTCGAGTGATTGCTTGTGTGAGATTATTCAACTGAGCGTTTTTATGACCAAATACGTGGACAAGTGTAATTTGCGAAGGATGATGAGTGATTGAGGACGTTGTTGAGTGGTGAGTTGCAAACCCCTAGGATCTCTTCATCCTAACTGGTGACAGAGAGATGAGTTTATTGGTCTTAGGGAGTGCATGTCTTGCTTGGATAACTCCTCCTGCGTTGAACTAGGGAAGGACTTGGAGGAAAAGCTGATTGGAACCGCATTGGATTGGAAGGCCGCATTGGAACCAATTACAAGAGCTGCTGCAATAGCAGAGAGCGGGGCCGTGCTGAGACCGTTAAGGCATGCCTTGATGCGATCAACTCAAGGTCCTTTGCAAAAAATCTAAACTTCGACAAAGAATGTGGTTTCTTTGGCAGAGAACCGTGCGGTGCTGCTTTCGGCGATCAAACGAAAAATGTGGTTTCAGTAAGAAGAGCTGCTGTTCGATTTATTGAGTACCCATTATTGTGGAGGTGTGATAATGGGCGACCGAGAAGTCTTTGGTTGGTTTCGACTTTCGATTAACTCGATGCTGACTAGACGTTCAAGCAGGAATTTCTCAAATATGCCAAAGGTAGGAGTCTTGAGAGAGCTTCATAGAGAGTGCTTCCATACTTGTGTTGTAATACTTGGAAGCTTTCTTTATAATGGTGCACCAACCAGTAATCGCAGTCGATGTTTATTTTATTAAGAGTGGCGCCATAGTGTGCATGAATTGATTGTTGTAGCGTTTGACCACGACATCCCAGCAACAGTGTACCCAAATTAAGTCAAAGCCATGTGACCCAGATCATGATCGCATCCTTCAATCAATGATTGTTTCAGAAAATGAAATTTCTGAATGTTGGCTAGAGAATGGTTTTCGTTGATAAGATGAAAGAAGTTAATCTAGAAGTCAATCGTTTATGTTTGAGCTGGACGCTGGTGCAATGATGCATTGTTAAATTTTTGTGTTGGAATTTTCTCGTCTTATGTTTCTTGCCATAAATTCTGCTATATTCTTCATCAAACTGATTGCGTAGGCTTGTCGAAAAATACTCATATTGTTGCGGACAAAGAAGAGCCACTATTTATTGATGATTCCGATTAAATTGATTTGATAAATCATCTAGTGATCGGAGGTGTTGAAGAAAATACGCTTTTGTTTTTCTGCTAGGACTGTCTTTTCTTAGGTTACGCTCGATCTGGGTTCATCTTTCCATCAAATCGAACTGCATTGCATAAAGGCTAGCAAATGCATCTGAACCGGCAGCGTTTGGATTCTGAACGCTTATTTTTCTTCTTTACTCATGGCTTGTGGTTAAATCTTACTGTGCTTTTGAAATCATACACCCACAGAAACACTTACCTCTTGAAGTCGGTTGCGGGAAGCTGAGAATAAAGATTATCAATTCCTTGTGTCCATTGTTCGTAGCTCCGCTATATGGGGTTCCGCTATGTACGGGGCTGATGACATGTTGAGAAAGTGCCACCGTTCAGAATGGTGGATTGTTCCATTGGGGCCGACCACTTTTTCTCAAGCCACCCGTTGAGTTTGTTCCAAGCTGGAATTTCGTGGGGAGGTTCCACCCCAGCAATGGTAGTATTAACGTATACCTCGCGCACTGATCCCGCTATACCTTCCAACCGTCAACCTAGCCGCCGTTTTTGTAATCGGATATCGGTGGTGGTCAGGCAGGGTATTCTCTTTCTTGAGGTAACTGTTCCAACACGTACTCGTTCTGCTTCTGTATGTTCTGCTGGGACAATCATGAATGCTCCGGGCTCCCGATAGGTTTACGCCACGCCATCCCTGAAACACTCATCTACGACTTCACCACAATCCTGACACGGACATGGGTTTATGCTAAGATTGCGTTCGCACTATCGGACTCGCCGGGTCAAGGCCAGAGTCTGATCTCGATTAGTGTTGTAGAAGGGCGTCCAGGTCGAGCCTGTTTAATAGGCCTCCTTGAACCGTTAATCCTCGGCGTCTGTGCTTTCCAGATCCAATGTCCCCACTTTTACCGTTCGTGCATTCTAGAGTTCAACCTTGTACCGTTGCTTTATCGAAATCGCCATTCTATACCGAATTCTCTTTCTGCAAACCCTCTCTCCAAAGATTTATTTTTCAAAATCTCTTGCTTTCCGCACAGCAGTTACTAAGCCCTGATTTGTTGCGGAACTGGCTTCAGGCAGCCCATCTTTGTGTGGAGTACCTAAGTCCTCATAACATATAAATTATAAAAATTGGAAAAAGTCGCTTTTACGGAAAAGTGTTGTATATCAATACTCATCAGAAAGCTTAAAATAATTGTTTTTTTTTGTGGCATTAGTTTTATAATATTTTTGGACAATACAATTCATTTGCAAATAAGTAAGGAAATTTAAGTAGAATGTAGTCAAATAGTAGACACCACTCGCTTTTCCAAATACTAGACGAAACAGTGTGTTGTTTAGCAAATTATTACTTTGTATGTAAGCCACGTTTTAAGAGTTATATTGCATATTTCGATTACTTCACATTCAAGAGGATTATAAGTTATAGGCGGCGACTTCAATGCCTAATCTGGAATCAGGAGTAACAACATTCAGGCATTTTAGGAAATACACCTCTAAAGCAGATTTTCTTTACCTTAATAACACCAATATTCCCCTAATAATCTTTCTTAGCTAATTTTTTACGTCTATTCGTATTTTCGTATAAATGCTTCGATCTCTGGAACTACAAAAGCTAGAATGTTGAGATTAAAATTCCAGAGACTTTAAGCTTCCATATAGACGCAGCGCAAGTTTGTCACCAAAATGTCCCACTAATAATATATATACTCACGGCCACACTTTTAAAAAATTGTATGTTATTTTTTAATTTTTTTAATATATTTTGTAAATTTTTATAGATTTGCCAAAAAAAAGTTAGTCAACGCACACTCCAACGCCCACAAATCGCCTAAAACTGTCAGGCCCACATTTTTAAAAAATGTGATATTTTTTTTTTACTTTCTTATATATCTTGTAAATTTCTATAAATTTGCCAAAATAATTTTTACCACGACCACTCTAACGCACACAAACCGCACAAAGCTCTTTTTTTCATTTTATTATTTTTCCCCAATTTCTACCGATATTCCACATCATTTTTTAAATAATTTTGAAATTTCTCGTTTGCACTTCCACTAGCTGAGTAACAGGTATTTGATAGTCGGGGAACTCGACTATAGCATTCTATCCTGTTTTTAAAATAAACTTTAGAGTTCTTTAAGTTATGTTAATTAATATTACCGATAAGTAGATGATTCTGGCACGTTGAAATATTACTGTAGTTGCGTGTCACATGCGCATTTCGAATTTCAATGAGCTCTCTCATTTAGTTCCAGTTTCTGAGAGCACTAGTATCCATTTTTAGAACGTTTGGTTCGCTCCGGCCCTTTAGTTCGCTTATGTATTTGTTGATTAATTTGGATTCATGCACATATGTCTCTCAAAGAGAATAACAGTTGACGAGAACAAAAATCCACGCAGTCATCTGTGATTTGCCCATTTTAAATTTAGTCTATAAGCACAAGTTTTGCATAACACAGCTACTCAGTTATTGTTCAGTGTGCTACGAATTTCCTTTTTATATGTACATGTAAGTGTTCACAAAAAATATGAGATTGTGCCTTCCACATAACTGAAAACGGTGAGGTCTTACAGTTGCTTTAACTATATATGTAAAGTCAAAGACCCTCATAAAATAAGGAAAAAAATAAACGGGTTATTTCAGAGTTGACTTTTAGAAAAAACTAGAGTTTGTAGTTTAGCGAATGACTTCTTTTTAATCTCTGTACATTAGTCTACGTAGACAGCCGAAAGTTTAATTTTTATGTTGTATTTCTCCGCAACTATTTGTGGATTGTCCCTACAATAATAGTCGAATTACTCGACTATCAGATATCCGTTACTGAGTTATGGGACCTTAAGTTAGATCAACTGTTGTAAGTTGGAAAGCGATCCGTAACGGCGGATCGATTAATTACTTGACCATTAATCTCTAGCTGTTTTTACAGGGTTTTTTAATTTGTGGGCGTTAGAGTGGACGTGACCAAAATGTTCTTGACATATCTTAAATAACAATCTATATACTTTACAAGGTCAAAGGTCTTCCTACGTTACATGCTTTTCAACGAATCTATAATATACTTTAGTCTAACATTAATGGATAAAACTATCTACACAATCTATCTATAAACACGTAATTTTTGTAGTCTACGATTTTAAAAATTACATTGGTTTACAAAAAAACAAAATTACTGAATTAAATTAATCTTATTTGAGATTACACGAAGTGAACGTAAACGCTTTTGATCAAGTTACTAATAGAAACGTTTATTGAATATCTGTAGTTTTCACTTGTGAGTGAAAATAAGTACAGTGGTTTATATTTTACGAACGACAATAACAAACAAATATAAGCAATTTTTATCCATGACTTAAAATTAAATGAAAACTATACATACGCAAAAAAATGCCGCCGCAGTTGTCCGATCATAGCGAGTGATACACGTATCGAAAAGTAAAGCAACAAATAATACCAAAAACTGTATGGTTCAGGAGGAAAGGCGGGATAAAGTAAAAAAAAACAATTTAACAATTGTGGCGTATGACGCTGTTGACGCGTAATATTACCAAAAACCGATGAACCGTTCAATAGGTATTCCTAAGATCTTGGGAATTTATCAAAATTAAAATTTTTGTCGGGCTGCTTGTCTGTTTGCAAAAAGCGTTATTTTAAAATACTAAAATTTTTTCCCCGTTAAACAGCATTTTGTATGGCAGCGTGCAAAATAAAATAATTTTTTCGTCACAAGAGTCGAAGATGCAATCATCACTCTTTACGAAATGTTTTTTTTTTCTTGATAATGTATATACATATGTTTAGTTTTAATAAAGATCACTAGGCGACTCTACCTGGCAGTATCCGTATGATCGTCGAGATCTATAGAAATGTAGCAGCTACAAAGTGGAGATAGGCATTCAAATTCTAGAGAAGTAGAGGTAGAGTAGGCGTAGTAGTAGTGAAGTAGCATAGCAAGTTTCCCATAAGGTGCCCAAAACTGTCACGCGAATATTTTCAAAAAATGTTGCTGAGAATATTTAGAGAATGTACTAGAATTGTTGAAATGTATGTAACAGGCAGAAGTAAGCGTTTCCGTTTATAAAAAGTATAGATAAGGTGCGTTGCAAAGTAAACTGGACATAAATATAGAGACAAAATTTTATTTTTTATTGAATTTTTTTATTTTATTGAATATCTGTAGTTTTCACTTGCGAGTGAAAATTAGTACGGTGGCTTATATTTTCCGAACGACAATCGGAAAAATTATCGGCAAAATCAATTAATTTTATTCAAAATAGTCTCCTATCGAATTTTAGCCAGGTGCAAGCTTTTTAAATTGTCTCCACGTCTGCATAACGCTTTCCTTTCATCGGCAAATGCATGAGATTTTTGGTCAAATATTTGGCCACAAGCGTCGATCGATGAGACGGCGCATTATCGTGCAACAAACGCCATCTTCCCGATATTCGGGCCGAATACGTTGAATACGGCGCACCAAACGCTTCAAAACTCCATTCAGCACTCTGGCGTTTCATTACGGGATCATATTGAAAATACCACGTATCATCACGTCACAATCTTGTAAAGGAAGTTCGGTTCTTTTTTTTTGCCTCTTTAATGATGTCCTTCGAATATTGAATTCAGAGCAATTTTTGGTCATCAGTCAATTTGTGCGGAACATACTGTGCAAACACTTTTTGTAAGCCCTAATGTTTGGTCAAAATGCGATAAATCGATGTTCAGATCAATTTTTATTTAATTTATTTAGTTTATTTAATTTCAATGATGATATCGGCTTATTTTTTACGAATTCACGCACAGTTTCTATGGAATTTTCGGTGATCACGGATTTTGGTAGGCCCACATGCTCATCGTCATTTATATCCTCACGACCACTTTGAAAACGTTGAAAACGGTCATGCACTCTGCAACGGGATAGGCAATCATCGCCATAAACTTGTTTCATTAATTGAAAAGTTTCAGTAAAAGTTTTACCAATATTAAAACAAAATTTAATGTTGGCTCTTTGTTCGAAGCTCACCGATGACAAAAACGTACTAACACTTAAAGCGCCATATCTTCGGTTCCAATAGATGAAATGTCATGCAATTTGTCTGGAAGTCATTAAAGGTGTCAGATTCTAAAGCATCAACATATAGATTGCGCCACTAGAGGACGCTAGATTCAAAAAGTCCTGTTTACTTTGGAACGCACCTTGTATATTCTTGATCAGGATCAATAGCCGAGTCGATCTGGCCATGTCCGTCTGTCCTCCCGTCTGTCCGTATGAACATTGAGATTAGGCATGCAGATTCAAGAGACACAGACGCAGCCCAAGTTTGTTAAATTATGTTGTTACTATCACTCTAACGCCCATCAACCGCATAAAACTTTCACGTCCACTAGCTGATTAACAGGTATCTGATGGTCGGAACCTCGACTATAGCATTCTATCTTGTTCTTCCTTAATTCAATTAAATTTTTAATTCACTTTAGACTGCTTTCGATGGAAACAATGCAATAAACGATTCAATGAAAATTACAATACCTGAGGTATGTTTATACCAGAAACTTTAAGAGGCTGTATGGTCGAGACGGACGTTTCTTCTTATTTGCAAACATCATCATCGGGGCAGGTAAAGAGCCGTACCTTACCTTTTAAAGTTTTTACGAAAAATAACTTGGTAGTGTTGCTTAAACCAAACAGTCGGTAAATTATTTATTAAGATAGATAAGATTAAAAGTGCAATAATTTATAGATTACTAACTTATGCGTTCGTATATGTATATTTTACATTTTACTTTCAAGAATTACATGACCCAAATAATCGGATTTTACTAATTTTATCTCAGGTATGCATATTGAGTTTGTTGATCAGGATAAAAAATATGCTTAAATTTGTTTATGTAGATTTCCCGTTATAGGAATAATCTCATGGTTTTTATTATCAGACCTTCTTTATTTCTGGAGTTAAAAGTTAGTTTAAAATAATAAGTGTGTCATTTAATATAGTGATGGAAAGCACATTTTGCCATTTAGAGAATTGTCGTCGGTGTCGCTTTGAAAATGGATGTTCCATATCGCTTGTCATAAGACAGTCGATCTCGATTTCAAAGTTTTTTAGCTCTCCCTTTTTGCAGAATACAAAGTTGTTCCATTTCTTAAATAAAATATATTAATGTTTATTTTAATTCAATATAACATTGACATTATATTTTATTTTTTTTCCAACATCTTTATACTAGGTAAATATAAAGAATATAAATTTTAGACGGATCATGCTATACGCATGGATTTAAAATATATTAATTTAAAGTAATTAATATTTCATAACATAATATTTAATTAAAAATTAATTACTTAATTGGCCTATGTGAGGAATTTTATTGTTATTCCTTTGAATCTAATTTATTAAAAAACCTATATAGCTTATAAATGGTGTATATACAAATTATTATATTATACCTAATATGTTACTTGCGTTTATCCTTCAATTTATATAAAAAAAATGTAAGAAATGCACTTTAAATTCATTCTAACCAACACCATTACTCATCAACAACGCAATTACAGTTCACCTATTAAAATTTAAAATTTCAATCAAGATTTGTTTGATTCTACTATCGTAGAAGATTTACTCGTAGTGTCTCATTGCGTATTGCCGTCCACTGCAGTGGAGAGTGCACTGTGATGTGTTTCGGCAATTCATAACGTTTGACATAAACATTTTGCACAAACCCCGTAAGCCCATGGCCATGGGCAATAAATATTGAGTCTTTTCGCCCTCAAATATGAGCCTATCAACTTACCAACTCGGCCAAATGGACCCTGCAGACAATATGTGGGATTGCCTATTTTATTTTCTCAACTCGTTAGCAATGCAAATAGTAGTAAAAATCCACAGCATCTAATAAATATAATTAATTTACTTTTCTATGTACTAATACCGCCTCCCGTCCAACATGGGCTGTAAAACAATATTACTTTTTTGCGTTGTTCATTTTGTATTTGTTGATTCTAGTAATACCACATATTTTCCGCTCCTTCTGTTTCCTCGAAATCAATGTGAAAATAGCTTTTGATGAGGTTGTTTGAAAGTGATTAGAAGGCATGATTATTCTCCGTTTAAAATTGTTTGGTGTAAAATAATATATAAAAATTCAACAACTGTCACACTACTATCCTTGCACGTATTTACATATACCTTTTACTAGGGGTAAACTAGATTCGTTAACACGTGTCTAACAGGTAGAATAAAGCGTGTTTGACCCTATAGACTATACATATATTTTTGATCCGGATCACTATAGGAGTCATTTACAAATTTTTATACATATGTTGTGTATACGAAGTGTTTGGTGATGATTGGTACTGCAAGATAAAAAGAGCAATCAATTGATTTGTAATACGCGTCATCGACCCTATTCTTGTAATATTAGAGGGGAACCATTTTCCGAAAAATAATGTACATGTTTTGTGGAAATGGTGAATTATTGCCTATAAATAAATTACTTGATACTTTAAGCTGTATTAAGTTTTGATACCCCTTGCTCCTAGAGTAAAAGGATATACTAGATTTGTTGAAAGTAATTTAACATAAATTATAAAGAAGCGTTTAGACTATATAAATTTAGCAAATTCTTGATCAGGATCACTAGCCGAGTCAATCTGGCCAGACGGACAGGGGTGTCTGTATAAACGCCTCTATTTTAGGAACTACAAAAACTAGAAAGTTGAGTATAGTCATGCAGATTCAAATGTCTATCGGTATGCCATTTTTTCCTACACCCATTCTAACGCCCACAAACAACCCAAAAATGACAAGTCCTCACTTTTTTTTAAACATCTGTTGATTTGTTTCCATATTATCATTTGCCTTTATAGTTTCTATTGATATCCAAAAAAACGTTAGCACTCTCACTAGCATCATATACGAAAACGAGTAGTCTAATAGTCGAAGAACCCGACTTTAGCATTCTTTCTTCTTTTTCTATAAAAAAGTGTTTCGCTGACATTTCTTTACTTTACACGAAATATATATTATAAGCACATGAAATATATATAATTGTATACAAAAAAATACTCTAATATATTTCCTTTGATAATATTTCTTTTTATGGTACTAAATTTCATTTTAATTCATTCGAATTCATTTTACTATGAAAATATGCATACCTGTTGGAATGATTTAATAACGTATTTTTATTGTATATACATAGAATATCTAAAGTGTAAATTTTTTTTATTTGATAACTTATACTTATTTTTCATATAATACATTTTAGTCGATATTTTGTTAACCATTTATTGTTTGCACGAACAATTATATACTTCTAGACGAATTAAGCCCTCTAACTACATAAAGATAAATTTTATCTTTTCTGGTCTTGTCAAGTATTAAAAACTTAATACAGCAAGCGTTAATTAGGGATTTTAAGTCTCTATTCTATGGTTCTTAAATCCTGATTTAGCTTATATTTAAAACACATACACGTATTACATTAAGTTGTATGCACTTAGAAATCTGAAATTAATTAAGATCAGTTACTAATTTAATGCCTCTTTTACATATAGGATGAATTTCACCCTTTTATTGAGGCACTCTTACCGTACGTCAAATCATTTTCCTACTCTTGGTTTAATTTGCAAGCCGCCAAACGAAAATATTATAAGAAACATGAAAAACGTATGTCTCTGGAAGAAGAAAGACATTGTAAAGATGAACTCCAGGTATTAATTTAAACAATTTTTACAAAAGTATACAACTAAATATTTTTTTTAGAATGAAAAGACTGAGGTGAAGCAAAAGTGGGCTTCCCGTCTTCTTGGAAAACTCAGAAAAGACATTACACAAGAAAGTCGAGAGGATTTTGTTCAATCTATAATCGGAAAAAGAAAATCAATTTGTGTTCTCTCGAACCCCGATCAAAAAGGAAAAATGAGACGAATAGACTGCTTAAGACAGGCTGACAAAGTATGGCGGCTTGATTTGGTCATGGTTATACTCTTCAAGGCGATTCCATTAGAAAGCACAGATGGTGAGCGGTTAGAAAAAAATCCGGAATGCTTACATCCAGGATTATGTGTAAATCCGTACCATATAAACGTTTCTGTTCGAGAATTGGACTTGTATTTGGCCAACTTTATAAATACTCATAATTCAGTTAATAATACAAATACGACTTTTTCGACTAATCCGGGCGTAAGATCGCCAAATTTAACTATTTATAATCGAAGTAATGATCCAAACCGAAAAGATGAGGTCGCTGACATGAAAAATGATGTCGTTAGACAAAATCCATATAATGGTGTAGTTTGTAATGATATTATTTTAGCAACTGGAGTATTTTCTTCTCAAGAACTGTGGACCTTATCCAAAGGTACTAGTTATTTTCATATAAACTATTTCAACAGACTATGTAAATAATCACATATTTATACTTACAATGTAGCTTCAATACTAAGCTATATGTTATAAAGGTAATATATTTTTAAAGTGAATTGAAAATGCTTTCGGCCACGCATATTTACGAAGATAAATGGTTTTAACCTTGTGGCTTAGAAACAAGAAATTACGTTATAGTAGACTAAAGGTTTTAATATATGTTCAATATATATGTATGAATTCACACGGGCACACAAAAAAAAAGTAGTATATACATATGTAGTTCGAAATTATCATGTTCGTTTTTAAAGATTTGTATATACATGTTAGTTTCGAACTATTAAGTTGCTGCTAAGTCTCAGTTAAAAACTCGTACAACTAATTGGAACTACGCGAGATCTGAAAGTTTAAGAATTTACATTTTACATTGGGTCCGAAAAACAGCCTTTTAGCTATTATTCTTCGAAAAGCGGTAAACAAAAAATGCAAGTTAACTTTGTAACATTTATGCTCCTTTATGTCTACCGTAATATTGATTAAAAGTGTATTCCAACGTTTCTTGGTAAAAGTCTTTAAATGTTGTTTAACTGCATAGTAGCGGGTTGAAGTAGCAGGTAGCCACTCTCAGGACCTATCAATAATTTTTTAGTTCTGCAGAATACTTAATTACAAGTTACATACATTTTTTTAAGGGTTAGTTTAGCTTAAATGCAAATTTTTTATATTTTTTAAACGCTTTATATTTTGCTCAAATTTATTTCTGCACTATGACACAAAATTTAAATTCGGCCAGAAATAATCCATGCTTAACCAGCAAAAATATTTTAAAACTATCAACATCATAGAAAATCTATATTCTGAAGTGGGTATTTTTGTCAGACACATGAATGTCGTCTTAGAAGCAAACATTGATTGAGAAATTAACAATTTGTGGAAGAATGTGCACATATTAAGATGGCTGGTCAAGGAAATTACCATTAATGGGATTTAGAAGCGTATTTTTAAAATCGTTATAGACAACAATTCTTCACCAGTGGTCTTAATCCGGTTTGAACACCATGGGAAAATAATAAAGTAAAGTGGGTCTCTTAGTCATAAGCAAATTGATTTTGAAAATAAAATTTAAGTATTTTGAATGGTCATTTTACATAGTCTGCACATAAATTGTGAGGGAAAAAAATATTTTGTAATGGAATTTTATTAGATCTAATTTTAGATGAATCAAATGATATAAGTCTTAGCTCTAACCTTATAAAGAGGGAGAACGTTGGAGCTACCTATGAGTGTAATACATATCAAATTAACTCTGAACCTTCAATATCTGCTGCCCAGAGTCTGGTTCAATCTGGGTCAATTGTGGCTAATCCGATTCCACTTGGATACAGCAGTACGTAGATACGCTTATAAGATTGTTTTTAAAATTTTCATGAGATCTTCGTATAGTTGATTTTATAGATCAGAGAATTACACAATTATCGCAGAGTCCATTGCAACGCACAGAAGGCACAAACGGCGATGCCCATGATTCCAACAAAATCGATCAAAGCAGCCCACCGCCGATTACAAGCACTGCATCAGATAATGGCATAAGTAGTTTTTCTTTGATCGTAAGAGCTACTGAAAACTCAATTGAAGATCCAAAAACTTCCACGGACTCATCCATTTCCTTGCATCGCTATACGTCCTTAAATAGTCGGACACTGCCCCAAGGTACCGTAAAAGTATTAAACACGTTTTAATAAAAAATAGGATTTTAAAATGTTTACATTTCAGCTTTACCACAACATAGTTGCTCCTTGTTACATTCGAATTCCACCAGTCCGACTAATACCTTATATTACCCCCAGCATAATAATACAAGACCATCTCAACCAGCTTCCGTTGAGGAAGAAAATCGTGCTGGCTCCGATAAATATTCAACGGAGCCTCAAGATATTTCGGACTTTGTCACCTATGTTTGTCAAGACACTAGTCATACGACTACTATAACAGGATCAGCTGAAACCCATTCATTTCAACATACACTCCCACAAGGACATTCACCGCATTTTCAAATTCATCAACAGCTGCGAACTGCAAAATTGACAAATTCACCGTCAACTCATTATCACAGTACAATGCTTCCGCCGATGCTGCCTCCAATGGCTCGACCTGTAGCTATAATTCGCAGTAGCAGTGATCTAACCCTAGTCCAATCTCCACCTCCATCTTTAGCGCTGACAGCCCAATCTTCTAGCTTGAACAACCATAGTTGTATAGCGAAAAATAGCTTGCAAACGGATAATATTAGACTTGCAAGTAACCTAGACAACAGCAATAGCCCCAATAACACAGATGTTGTTTCACACCACGAAATGACAGGAACTAGATCTCCTCAACCGCAATCTCACGCACCGGCCTTAGCGAGTCCCCAATCTTATTTGGATCCTGGAAGATGTAAGCTGCTATCAGCTGGCTCAAACATAAGCAGAATTACAACGCAAATGTATCCCTCGTCAAATAATAGAGAATATTTTAATCACTTTCATTCGCAGCCTACATCGGTAAGTACGAATTGTAAATAAGATTTGCGTATGTCAATAGGAAAAAAGTTTTAATTGGGGCAAAGGGAAATTTAGATTTCCTAAAACACGAGTAACGTATTGAACGAAAAGCTTCCGACCCTTTTTCTATTTCTATTAAATCTATTTCTACTCCGGATCACTAGTCGAGACGATAATGCAATGTTTGTACGTCTCTCTATCCGATCGTTTGGGAAAATGTATAATATCAGCTAGAAAGTTTGCGCTAAGCTTGTAGAAAAAAAAAATCGAATTACCCTATGAGTTTGGAAGTATTTAGGAAATTACATTTTGAACGCCTATAATGACAGAAAGTTTTAAACAATTAATGTACAATTAATGCTCATCCCTATTTCCGAATTTATAAATATTAAATGTAAGTTGTTATTGACAAATATGTGACATGAATTTTAAGCTTTTGGGATATGCCGGCTCTATTTCTACAATGTCTGGAGTTATAAGTCCAACAGACTTAACACTTTACTCAGCTCCAATGGCTGTATCACGTTCAAGTACCAGGACTAGATGGAACGAAGAGGAGCATAATGTAATTCCAACATCTGTATCTAGTACAAACATGGATAATACCCAAGTTATATTAATGGAAGACTGTAAGTTTTTGATTACGTTTGGAGTGACTACTGTTTAATTCATTTAGGAACTTATTTCAGCGACTGGACGTTATATAGATGAGTATTCGAATCGTGACTATGTTTCATGATCTAAGCTCAATAAAAGAAAAGTCATTAAACTCTTCGGCTTGGGCATGCCAAAATGTTGACTAGAAAATCAGTAATTAAGAAGAGTACCTTAAATAAACACATAAAATTCTATTGCTTATAAGTTTAAAATTTATAATAAGGGAATAATGTTAGTTTAAGAATATAAAAAGCGTTGTATTTAAATCAAAGTAAAAGGACCCCAGTTATGTCTGTATAAGTAGCCTGGTAAAAAGAATATATATAAGCCCATAAAGAAGCAGAAACTATTAATACAACGGAGAGGTTGATTTTAGAAGTCAAAGAAATGTAGAAAGAAATATTAAGACTAGAAACTCTTGTGACGCCTACGCTGCGCAAGAATATTTCAAAATGTTGGCACACCCACTCTAACGCCTACAAGCCCCTGAAGATGCCACGCCTACTGTTTTGAATAATGTTTTGATATTTTTTCGTTTTATTATTAGTCTTGCTATTTCTTTTGGAATACCAAAAATATTTTAGCCACTCTCCCCTCATGACTACACTTACGAACAGTTTTGCATTTTTTAAAATTTTACTGACTTGCTAACAACAATTTTAAAGTTCTTGTTCGCTACTATAACGAACTCTTGTTTTCTTTAAATTAGTATTAAAATATTTCTTTACCGGAAATGTGGGTACAATTATTTGGAATTCAGATTATTATCCCCATTTCGCATTTTTTCTCTTAGCTCGTATTTCGAGGCCTTGAACACTTTTTATAGATTTAACAAACCCTTAAATACAGATCCAAACATAAATACAAATTGATTTTAGATTTCATATCATTGTAACATAAAAGAGTCAGAGGCTGGATATGATATCTCAATTCGATTTTACTTATTTTTTAAAGACGTTATAATATTTAAAAAATATCAAGAGATAAGCGATCCAAATAGTGGGTTGCCAGTTTAAAAGGGAATTTTTGGAATCCAGAGGCCGAAATGGAATTAATTGAAATATACAGCGCTATACATTTTGTAGCAAAGATAATTCTCCTACTACTTTCCTAATATTTATTATATATATAATTTATATAATATAATAATTATAATTTTAGAAATATATAATATTGTTTCAGTTCAAGTACAAAAAATAATAGACACGTATTGAAATTCCCAGGCTATTACAGTCAGACTATAAAACAGTATTAAATATATTATTGCTTTATGGCTTTTTCAATTCGTCTAATATTTTTTTTTAAGAATCCATGTTATTGTGATCTATAAAATCCTCTTAACTACTCTAAGAGCATAGTAACAACGTTGCCATCAAAATATTATTAAAATTTAAAAATAAAGCAACCAAAGTCTCAATTCATATTTGAGGCATATGTACTGCATATTATCAAATAAATATTTATAAATCGTTTAATAGTAAATGGAATATTAAAGCAATATGTTACATAAGGCTTAAGTTAAATTAACTATTGAGAAAGTAACTTATATAAGGCAACTAATATTATGACAATAGTAGCACAGGACACCCAGACGTCGTTTATTTTATACATTAAGTGAAGAAGACAAATTTTAGAGAATAGTCGTGTTTGAGTCCGGTCGTTAATATAATGTCCGGTTAATAAAAATATTAAAAATTTGATTTTGTTATGCAAGTTGAAATTAAAGAGAATGAAAGAAAGCCGGTATAATAAGTGCCTGAGATTTTATCATAGTATTCAAAACTAAAAGCCCTAATAATCCAAGTAAAGCAATATATGTAATTATAAATTTGAAATAGATCTTTGCAAGCTCCACTCAATTGGTCAAATTGAGTGGGCATCTATTTCACAAAACTTAAACCTTAAACTTAAAAGCTTCTGAATGGGCTAAATTTACTTCTCCCAAAATATTTTTAACAGCATAAGAAAAATATAAAAATTTACGAATGTGTCGCTGCATTGCAATTGTGAGTTCCAGAAAAAAACAAATACAAATTAAAAATGTTAGTACAATAATAATGTTAGGTTGATGGAAAACATATGAAATATATATAACTATTTATAAGATTTGGCTGTGAATATAATTATTACGCTAATGCTTTTTGTAATTTAGGGTAAAACGAAAGTGCTTATAATAAAAAAATATAATATTGTATTAAAATATCAATATATACACACAACTTTAATAGACTGTTCACAAACGGAGACTTGGTAATAATAAAGAAATATTTTATCGAATAAAGCAAATAAATTATATAAAGATTTGGATTACATTTTTGATTGGTAAGCACAGGTGAGGAATTATGTAGCTTTTTCATTTTTACTCCAAATTTACCAAATTGTTGAGCAAGAAAGCATAGCAAGTTCAGAAGTAAAAAAAACATGTTACGCAATTTAAATAATTTTGATTGTAATAACAATTTATTAAAATAATTTAATATCGTTTAAAAGGGCATAAAATGAATGCGATACGATCATATGGATTATTGATCGGTTTCACTAGACAGTTCTATTTATGTTTTCTATGTCTTCTTTAGTTAAAATATAAGTCCGAATTTTATTAATTATTACGTCATAGCAGGAGAGCTACGGTACTTTTTGGTTAGATATGAATAATTATTTTGAATTGTTAATTCCATATTATGTTGGATGATAAATTTCTAACAAGCATATTTATATATGGTTTGTGTTAAAAGATCGCTTACTACTTACCCCTACTATTTATCTCGCAGGAAGTCCGATCAAAACCAAAAAAAAATTAATTAAAACAAGAAATTGCCCATGGAGTAATTATATATTTAAAGAAAAGCTGTAGCTATAATTCGCAGTAGCAGTGATCTAACCCTAGTCCAATCTCCACCTCCATCTTTAGCGCTGACAGCCCAATCTTCTAGCTTGAACAACCATAGTTGTATAGCGAAAAATAGCTTGCAAACGGATAATATTAGACTTGCAAGTAACCTAAACAACAGCAATAGCCCCAATAACACAGATGTTGTTTCACACCACGAAATGACAGGAACTACATCTCTTCAACCGCAATTTCACGCACCGGCCTTAGCGAGTCCCCAATCTTATTTGGATCCTGGAAGATGTAAGCTGCTATCAGCTGGCTCAAACATAAGCAGAATTACAACGCAAATGTATCCCTCGTCAAATAATAGAGAATATTTTAATCACTTTCATTCGCAGCCTACATCGGTAAGTACGAATTGTAAATAAGATTTGCGTATGTCCACGCGAGCAATAGGAAAAAAGTTTTAATTTGGGAAAAGGGAAATTTAGATTTCCTAAAACACGAATAACGTATTGAACGAACAGCTTCCGACCCTTTTTCAAACTAAATCTATTTCTACTCCGGATCACTAGTCGAGACGATAATGCAATGTTTGTACGTCTCTCTATCCGATCGTTTGGGAAAATGTATAATATCAGCTAGAAAGTTTGCGCTAAGCTTGTAGAAAAAAAAAACTGTCCATTCCACACTATTCCTAAAACACGAATAACGTATTGAACGAACAGCTTCCGACCCTTTTTAAAACTAAATCTATTTATACTCCGGATCACTAGTCGAGACGATAATGCAATGTTTGTACGTCTCTCTATCCGATCGTTTGGGAAAATGTATAATATCAGCTAGAAAGTTTGCGCTAAGCTTGTAGAAAAAAAAAACTGTCCATTCCACACTATTCCTAAAACACGAATAACGTATTGAACGAACAGCTTCCGACCCTTTTTCAAACTAAATCTATTTCTACTCCGGATCACTAGTCGAGACGATAATGCAATGTTTGTCGTCTCTCTATCCGATCGTTTGGGAAAACGGCTCTATTTCTACAATGTCTGGAGTATCACGTTCAAGTACCAGGACTAGATGGAACGAAGAGGAGCATAATGTAATTCCACTTTCTGTATCTAGTACAGACATGGATAATACCCAAGTTATATTAATGGAAGACTGTAAGTTTTTGATTACGTTTGGAGTGACTACTGTTTAATTCATTTAGGAACTTATTTCAGGGACTGGACGTTATATAGATGAGTATTCGAATCGTGACTATGTGTCATGATCTAAGCTCAATAAAAGAAAAAGTAAAACTATTAATACAACGGAGAGGTTGATTTTAGAAGTCAAAGAAATGTGGAAAGAAAAATTAAGATTAGAAACTCTTGTGACGCCTACGCTGCGCAAGAATATTTCAGAATATTGGCACACCCACTCTAACGCCTGATATTTTTTCGTTTTATTATTAGTCTTGCTTTTTCTTTTGGAATACCAAAAATATTTTAGCCACTCTCCCATCATAACTACACTTACGAACAGTTTTGCATTTTTTAAAATTTAATTATTTTATTACTGACTTGCTAACAACAATTTTAAAGTTCTTGTTCGCTACTATAACGATCTCTTTTGTTTTCTTTAAATTAGTATTAAAATATTTCTTTACCGGAAATGTGGGTACAATTATTTGGAATTCAGATTATTATCCCCATTTCGGATTTTTTCTCTTAGCTCGTATTTCGAAATCTTAGCACCTTGAACACTTTTTATAGATTTAAATACAGATCCAATCATAAATACAAATTGATTTTAGATTTCATATCATTGTAACATAAAAAAGTCAAAGGCTGGATATGATATCTCCATTCGATTTTACTTATTTTTTAAAGACGTTATAATATTTAAAAAATATCAAGAGATAAGCGATCCAAATAGTGGGTTGCCAGTTTATTTAATTTCAATGATGATTTCGGCTTTTATTTTTTACGAATTCAGGCACAGTCTCTATGGAATTTTCGGTGATCACGGATTTTGGTAGGCCCACATGTTCATCGTCATTTATATCCTCACGACTTGACAACTTGAAAACGTTAAAAACGCTCGTGCACTCTGCAACGGGATAGGCAATCATCGCCATAAACTTGTTTCATTAATTGAAACGTTTCAGTAAAAGTTTTACCAATTTTAAAACAAAATTTAATGTATGTTTATTTGTTTAATGTTTAATTTAACGTACTAACACTTAACGCGCCATATCTTCGGTTCCAATATATGAAATGTCATGAAATTTGTCTGGAAGTCATTAAAGGTGTCAGATTCTAAAGCATCAACATGTAGATTGCGCCACTAGAGGTTGCTAGATTCAAAAAGTCC